CCCCAAAACCCCAAAACCCCTAATTCTAAGTTTGAAACTTTGAAGAGAAGTGTCAAATTACTTCTTAATAAAATTCGAAATCAAAATTATAAAATGAGCACTGCTTAGTAAAGAATTCAAGATTTAACTGATCCAAGTTAAGCATTTGTTGACTGCATTTTAGCATTTTCCAGAAACCTAGAAGCTGATAATGTCTCTGTGGAGCTGCAGGTATGTATTAAGAACTATTCTTCTTAATTAGATTTTAGGATTTATTTTTCAAATTTGCAGAGGGCAGAAACACTCTGCCTGAAAAATGTGGGCAAACAGTTATTGATTCATTTTTAGCAATATTGGTGTCAATCATTAGTTTCAACTAGTATCAGAAAACTGCAGTGAGAGCACTTAAGATACTCTTTGAATTTCTTAAAAATGGTAATAACTAATCCAATCATAATCCTTTTATTTTAGATACTCAGGTATATGCGAGATTCAAGCCAAATAAGATTATTATTCGAAAGATGAACATAGCTAGTGTCATTTAATGTAGACTATATTACAGTTAATAGTTATTCTAGCCCAAAGAGAGGAGGATGCAGATATGGGTTTGGACTTCGCAACATTTCTGTTGAGATATCACAGAGATTTGGACTATGCTGACTTCTCAGATGACCCACTTGTTACTCACAAGATAAAAAGAGCAGAAACATATAGAAGCTGGGCAGATATTGAAGATCTAGCCAATGGATTTGAAAGTCTGTCTACTAATATTGAGCAGCATCAAGTTACTGCTGCCAACGCCTTCTAAGAACTATACAACTATATTGAAAAGGTAATTAACTATTTAGCAAGTACTAAATATAAATAAAGACGAAGAAAGAAATGCAGGCAAAAGACGATGAGACTAAGACCTAGATTCTTTATGTGAAAGACGATTTAAGGAGACTAATGGGAGTTTACAATCCTGACAAAGATGAAGTGCTTAAGGACTTCAGCCAAGTCAAGAGTTAAGTTGGCGATTTCTTATCTGAAAAAGTCAGGAGTCTTGAAGTTTAAATTGAGGATAAACTAGTAAGTGATAGATGTCTTATGCTATTATTTAGACTAAGAGAATAGAAGCATTAGAAAAGGGCATACAACTTGGCATGGCTACTAATCAACAGCCAAAAATTAATATAATTACTAATCCTGGGGGGCAAGGTGGAGACCAAGTTGCTTAGTAATTAGCTCAGATGAAGAGCTAGTAAGTTTCAAGTAACTAGTCGCAAAAGCAATTAAATGACATCAACAATATGAAGCTGGAAGAATCATTGAGAGATCATGTGGAAATCCTTCAAACTCTGAATGCCAAATTGAACAATCACATCTAGCAGTAGAACGAGCAGAGAGTTTTTATCAATGAAAGATTTGACAAGCTAGAAAAAGTTGGATTAAACAGGGAAATCGAAAGCATACCAGCTAAGTATGATTTGATTCAATACGAGTCTACTTTAAAGAAGATCATAAATGATATCGAGAGCATAAGAAATGACTAGATAGCCAGCAAGGAATTGGAAAATGTCAAGAGTCAGGAGGTAGATGCCTTCTTCAAAAAGACTGCTAATGAGTACTTTATAAAGTTAAGGCAGATCGAAGAAGAAGTCAAGTCATGTAAGGTTTGTTCTCATAATCTGAATAGTGAGAGACGAGAAGTCAATATACAGAATGGAGAACAAGATTAGCATTCTTGAGCAGGAGATAGTTGATCTGAAGAACATGCGCAAAAATAACGCTAGATCTCAGTAGTTGATCAATATTACGCCTGACTACACTGAGAAGTTTGACATACTCGTTGATGAAGTCAACTAACTTTGGAGTTTCCTTCAGAGATTCATCGACGAGTCAGTCATTGATGCAATCAGCGTAATCAAATCTCCTGATCATGCCTTCAAAGAAAAGATGAATGAGATTGAGTGGCTGGCAAGGAATGCGGAGTTCCTATCTCCAGACTCAATCACTAAATGCCTAATGTCTTTTAAGGAGCTATATAATACAGATAACATGCCAACGAAGAATGCTTACATCAATGCCAAGCATACTTCTAATTCAGTAATAACTGTAGTGCATTTGATTGAGCACACTAAGATGCTGAACAGAGATGATGAGACTATGTCAAGATTAGCTATACTTGTGAGTATCCTGGAGCCATTACTGATAAATGATATGAATCTTGATAAAGCTCTCAATGCTAATGCTATGGAACAGCTGCTATCACTTTACTACTTGCCAGATCAATTCAAAAATTCAGAGTTTGACAGTGAATCTAGAAAGAAATTCCCAATCTATTTGAAATACACCTTAAGATGTATAACCTCTTGCGTCAGATCTCCTCTTGGTGTGGCCTAACTCGTTAAAGTACAAACTTCTCTTGGGTAGATCTTAGAATTTCTTGAGAAAGTAAAAGATGAGGAAATTCTGGCTAATTCAGCAAAGATACTCAGAATAGTCCTCAGAGATGATAAAGTAAGATAAATGCACTTTTAATTGTTTTACAGTGGTATGAGTTGGTGACATCCTAGCATTCAGACCTGGGCAATACTTTGCTTGTTTCAATTGATAAATACTCCTTCAGTGAAGTGGTTCTGACAGAACTACTGGCAGCATTGAGAAATTTCACAAGGGTCTCAACTAAAGTAGTATACGTTGCAAAGACACATATTAATCCCTTGATAAGTTTAGCTATATAGCCACCTAATGACAAGTAAATTACATCATCTAATATCATTTAAATAGAGCGTATCAACTTTCGGTATAATGCTTGAAAAATCTAATGAAAGTGCCTGATTTTGATAGGCATATTAAGTAAGTAGGAGGTCATGAGATAGTAGTTGTTTTGGGAGAAGCTAATAAGTTTGCCTTCAAACAGAACTAGCAGTAGCAATGAGCTTAAAGACATTATATGAAATCGCTAATATTGAGACCTTATCTGATAATCTTAATTTAATAACTTCAAACCAAATAGATGGTAGACTCTTTCGGGGTTTTGGGGTTTTGGGGTTTTGGGG